AATCTGTGTAAATAGCTCTACTGCATTCAGCATTTATTAGATATTCCACTCACACATTTTTTTTCAATTTATACTTTTGGAAGTGATGAGAGTCTCATCTGCCTACTCCCTTAAAGGCAACCTTCTACTGTACCCTCCTTTTCTATGTAGTTCAGACTAATTTCCCAGGATAAATAGGGATGGGGGAGCACAGAGCTTAAAAACAAGAGCTGATTTATCAACTGATTGATTTCAGAAACAGATGAAGAGAAAAGGTTCCATTTGTCTTGCCACACTTGAGTCTGATGAGACACAAAAGGGCCTGCCCCCTCATTTTCCACACCTTTTCAAGGGGCTCCATTGGAAATGTTGATTAAATGCACAAATTACATTTCTGTTCTCTTGGCTTTCCTGAGTGAAATGAGAGCCGGGCCCAGAGGCTCTTTTCCTTACTGGAATGTGGAGGTAGACACTCTAGGGAGGTGGGATCATACCTCCACACCTGACCTTTCCTGTGTCCACGAAGTCATGCCAGATTCTAGTCCAAAAGAACCAACAAAACTGGGCTGAGCCAGCCATTTGAATCTAGGTGCCACAGTCCCACCACTATCTCCAAACTTGATATTGTTTACAATGAATAAATATATTCATTTCAGATTCCTGTCTTGTCTGGCTCTGACTTTTATTCAATCATCAATTGACTCATTAAGTGAATAGGCCAGAGAACTCTATACTGGTGATAGAATTAATCATATCAGTCAGTCTTTTTTATGGATTCTTATTTGTCTTCTACCACACATGTGTATCAAAAACTCACCTCACAAAGCTGGGTGTGGGAAACTGTGGACTGTGGCTTTTGACACAAAGGCTTTGATATTCTTCTCATCAAAATAAAGGCACTGTATAATTCAGTTTGAAACAAAGTATGCCCCCCTCCAGCCAGTGGCAGTTGCAACTAAAAGAACATAGGGTGAGTGGTGTGGTATGTATACCAAGGAAGTTGCAACCCAACAGGATAGTATTTAGTGTTGTGTAACTTCCAAGACTGTGTTATAAAAGGCAGCTTTTGGTTGTTGTTGTTTTATTTTGCTTTGAGATAATATATATATATATATATATATATATATATATATATTTCTTTTTTATTTATTTTTTATTTTACATATTGATCTCAGTTCCCTCTCCCTCACTCCCTGCCCCCTGACACCCCTCCAATTCTAACCCCCTCCCATTCCACAGAGAGGGTGATGCCTTCCAGGAGGGATCACAAAATCTGTCAAATCATTTGAAGTAGGGACTGGGCCCTTCCTCCTGCCTCTAGGTTAAGAGAGTATCCCTCCATGGGGAATGTGCTCAAAAAGTTCTTTCATGCACCGGGGTTTTTCTTTGTCCTTGAATTATATATATTGCCCCTTGCCCTTTCTCCTCCTCCTTCTTTCTGGGTGCCCTAAGGTAAACACTGTCCTCCACCACATACTCTGACACACATGTGAAATGATGTTCTTCTTCTGCTTTGGAACAAGACAGTAGTGAGTACTCCATTGACCAAAGCCTCTGAGACCATCAGACATGATAAATTTTTCCTCTTAAAAGACGGAAGCCATTTTTCTCAGGTATTTGTCACAGCACAAAAAAAGATGTGACTGATACAGCTCCCATTTAGTTTTCAAGACTGAAACCCAAAAAAGGAAAGAGTCTTGCTCAAGTTCACACAGCTCATAGTGGCTTGAGTCATCTAAGTGGTAGTGAGCTCTCAGGATTTACAGTGTAATATTCTGTCTACATTCTTATCTGCATGCTGAAGGTCCCTTAGATGCTGTGGCTGACTCTATGAACAATAACATGCTTCATTTTATGATTTTTGCCAGTTATGAAGCATTGGATTTAGAAATTCTAATTTTATTGTCTGTCCCAAGGGATCCACAGTCCAGGCTTAAGGTGAAGCATTGCCTATTTATTTTTGCATCCGTAAGTATCTGTACCTTGTAAAGATTCTATTCGGTTTTGAAAATATAAATTAATATAAAGGACATTATAGGAGCTATTTGTTTCAAATTTTTAGTTCCTATATAATCAATCAAAAGATGTTAAATGGTAGCTAGCCTATGGTATTTGGGATATTTAAAAAATCCTTGTGATAAAACATTTGGGCCTCCTAACCATGTTCAATTAATTTCGTTGTTGTTTTGGTTTTGTTTTTTTTTTTTTTTTGTTTGTTTGTTTTAATGTCCACATATCATTCTGTGTTAAATATGACTTCATTATTATGTTAAATACTAATGATTCTATACAATACTGAAGAAATGACATCAGATAAAGAGCTGATTTGTTTTACAAACAAGGAAGCCAAGTCAGGGATTCATAAAATTATTGCTTACTTGATCATTCAGAGGTGGAATTGAAATTAGAAGCTATCCCCCTGACTGGAACTCGATGTGGAGTAGTTACTAATAAGTAAAATGAAAAATTAAGATGATAAAAAGAATTTCCCTTGAAGCCTCATATCGATTCATCCCCAGCTTTGTGAATCTGAGAGGCCATTGTGTTGATCAGTAATAACACTTGATCTTAGATGCTGTAAATTTAATATAGAACATAAAATACAGGGATCAATAATTTGATATTGGGGAAGCTCCTTTGTTCTCTGACTTTTAATATAAATGGAAAGCTGCAGAAACATACGGAATTATTTTTTTCAAAAATGCCACTTAAGTTATGTAGACATTGATGGCTAAAAGAAAGCACAGGAAGGACTTTTATTCTGTAACCAGTACCAGTTCTCATAGGTGCCTCCTCACCGTGGCTCTACCCACTACTGTTTCTAAGACCCTTTCTTTCCTTGCATCAAGTAGACACATCTCTCATAGCCTCACATAAGAAGTACTTCCTCATCTCTGTTTACAAAACAGGGAGAACATGACCATGTCCTGTTGTTCCATTATATAAAGTGTGGTGGAGAAACCAAACCTCCACTTGTACAGTAACAGTAAGAGTGCCAAAGTGGCCCTACTACCTTCCCCAAAGTTTAGTGTGTGTTCCTTGGTCTTCTATGAGGTACCATGTATAACACAAGTTTCAACAGTCAAATGGAAATGGATAATGCCATCCTGTAACTCTCTCCTTGTGGAAAGCCACAAGTCATCAGGAAGACCTAGATGCCTAGAAGTGACCTACATCAATAGCTGGTATATCTTAATTTTATCCCATTGTGTCTTAATCTTAACTCATACATGACTGCACCCTCTGGGATACTACTTTTCAGGACTCAGTGTTGTTAGTCTCAAAGTTCCCCACATTTGTACTCATTAAATGATTTGGAACATCATGGCTCAATTCGAGTAAGTAAACACAAGCGATCAAATACAGCAGATCCTGCTCCCCCTGGAGTCTAGCATCCATTTAAAAATAATGGCTAACACAACAGTCCTCAGAAAGTTTATTGCATAGGATACAAACCTCCTATTTCCTGAATATATGTCGTTTATGTTGTTTTATTGCAAAATAATGATGTCATTATATGCTTTGCTTCATTGTATACAATCTAATTTTATTTTACTCTCCACTTCTATGTTATGGCAGTTCCCACTACAATGAGAACCAGGCCCACCTGTGAAATAACACTGGCATGAGCTCAGTGGTGTAGATTTCTTGCCTACTTTGATCAAACAACATCATCTTTAATATTGTCTGGCAAGAGTTTAAATATTGCTTTAGAATTAATCCTTGAAATCATGCTTAAAGGGCCTTTCTTGAATGTCGTATAATGGTCTCAATATTTAGCAGCAACCAGCAAAGATTTTTCTTCCTGCATAGTAGTTAGTGGGTCTCAATTCAAATTTTATATACAATTTTACTGTGCCATATTCCCATTTTTACAGATCACCCTTATTCTTGTCCTTGTTAAAACTAAGTGGTACTGATTAGACAAAGTATATAATTTCATTTTGATAGTCTACTAATAAAGAAAAAAAATTATTTCTTTATTTCTTTGATCAAACTCAATTAGCTCTTGTAACTTATATCGGTGAACTGTCATAATTATTCAATTAACATAAAACTAGAAAGCAAAAGGTACAAAGTATCTCAAGTAATTTGGGTCAAAACTTCATTTCTTCTAATCTTTTTTTTAATCTTGTAATGAAGATAATCTTATTCTGTAACACTTCTGAATTTAAAAACTTACAAATGTGGAACTGGGAGCTGTAAATCAAGTGGCAGGGTGTGTGTCTAATATGCACATGGCTGTGTGATCAATCCCAGCACTTCTCAAAAAAGTTTATGTCTGTATAAAATGAGAAAAATTAGCAGGGTGCTTAAGGTTTACAAGCAAAAGTAAAATCTGTGAAATTTTGTGGTTTTAAATCCACATGGAGGCTGTAAAGAACAGATTACTCTGAGAGTTTTAATGTTTAAAATTAGCTATGAACCATCAGTCAGCATGTGTACATACTATTTTTCCTAGTACTACTCATGCTTGTAGAGACTGAATATCTTAAAACTGTTAGTAGTAGTTGGAAGTTTTTCATTTTTAGAAATGTGATTGTGATTAAAATTTCTCTTGGTATTGTTGTGAAGATCCTCTTTATATCATATAATGTCTTATTTGCAAGGAGAATTGTATCTGGCATAGGCTCTTCCTTCCCCTTTCAATTCAGAGGCTCTTTTTGGGGAGCAACTATTTCTTTGTTTATGCCCTCCCAAGGATTTGTCTTCTGCCAGGGTGCCAATTGTGTACATCTTATATGATGATCTGTCACATTGGGCCTGATCAATACCTGTGGAGCAATTCAATGGTAGTGAAATTCTTTTCTCTGATGTCACCTTCCTGGGAAAGTGGCCTACTTTCAGAGGCTGTAGTCCCTGGAATCTTTTATAATGAAGCATTTATGTCATCAGTATTTCTTAGCTTCCTTGTCTCCAAACTCGAACACTAATATCTACATTTTTTTTTAAAAGCACCAGTTATGTGACAAGTAAACAGTGTGTCATTTATACTGTTATCATTTCTTTTACATTTGCAGATGTCATCCATACTGTAGGGCCAATAGCCAGAGGCCACATTAATGGTTCCCACAAAGAAGACCTTGCAAATTGCTACCAATCATCCTTGAAGCTGGTGAAAGAAAATAACCTCCGATCAGTTGTAAGTACTTTAGAGTCCTTTGCTTTGCATTCCTTCTCAGCCTTTGTGCAAAGAAAATAGCCCGTGCTGAGTTTATCATAATATTGTACATTTCTTTTACCTTGACAATGTGTGCACATGGTTAGCACTGTTCAACCTATGCCTGTGTGAGCATGCATGCATGTCTACATATGCATCTTCATAATCTTCATATTCAATTCACTTTCAGACACTTACTCCGTAAGCTTATGGGAACACTGTTATTCTTTCCTACTCATTTTACTCCCCATAACTTAATAGCCTTCAGCTAAAAATGTTACACCCTTATAAATTTTATCTGCTAAACAACAGCATTGGTATAGCAGGGGTACGTTTACTGCCAGCAGTGAGATCTGTACCCACCACCTTGGTCTATACTTCCATCAAGCAGCTTGTTGCTGGCTTGGAGATGTGGTCACAACCACTGCCACTGCCAGGTGCTTGTGCACACCATTGAATTGTTAGCAGGGCCTCTTAAAAGAGTCCTGCGTTTTTTTGCCACTTATGCCAAGTCAGGAAACCTCCCTTTAAAGAAGTTGAACAAGTCTCTGCTTATTTATAGCAAAACAGAGCAAAACCAAGAAAAATAATGCTACCAAGAAGCTTTGCTTGTCTCTGTTCTTTTGTTTTTAAAATAATTTTTTAAGCTTTTGTTAGTTTTAAGTGGAAATTCTTAGTACCCATGATGTAGGCGCCATTTTGTTATGAGCACTTTCCCACCAGCCTGGTCTCAGAGCTTCATCAGCCTCAAATGGCATGCAGAGACACTTTATTAATTATGAAACTGTTGACCGGTTACCAGTGTTTCTTACTGACTAGCTCTGTCTTAAATATTAACCCATAACCACTAATAAATGTATTTCTACATGGTCTTATCTTACCGAGAATGCCAGACTCTAGGGTCTTCTCTTCCAGAAATCACATCGAGACCTTACTATGTTTCCCAGAATCCTCTACATCTCCTACTTCCACCTGTCTTGCATTCCTATTGGCCAACAGGGCTTTATTCATTAGCCAATAAGAGAAACATATTTACAGTGTGACATCTCCCATCAAATTGGTATCTATCAGTGTGTTGTAGAAGCCATAGGCCAACACAATGATGTCTTCCTCTTATTTTTTGACAGAAGGTTTCTCACTCTCCCAGATTAGATTGGCTGACCACAGAGACCCTGGGATCCTCCTCCCAATACTAGGATTATTGTCTGTCCACATTTATTTTCTGTTACTATGATGAAATATCCTAAACAGAAGTTCCTTGGTGGAGAAAGGTTTTTTGACCTACAAATACAACAATAAGGGAAGTCAAGGCAGCAACTCAAGCATTAACCATAGAGAACTGCTGCTTTTTTGTTGACTTACAGGTTTATGTTTAGCTAGCTTTCTTATAGAGCCACAGCAAAGGGAATGGCACTGTGTACAGTACCTTCCTATTTCAAATAGCAATAAAAACAGTCTCCCACAGATTTGCTTATGGGCCAACCTGATCTGAAAATGCCTCAAGAGAGACTCCCTACTTAGGTGACTGTAGACTGTGTCAAGTGTACAGTTAAAGTTAACTAGGACAAAGAACCACATGGATACTCAGCTTTTTACAAATATGGTTGTGAGTGGCCTCAACTCAGGTCTTCATTGTTTCAGAACCAATACTCGACCCTCTGAGCTGTTTCAGTAACCCCAAGAAACTAGTCTCAAAAAAAGAAAGCTGAAATTCAAAGAATGGAGAAATATGTGAAACTGATAGTTAATTTGAACTATATATGAAAAGCAAAGCAAATATATACTTAAGAATAATAAAAAAGTTAGTATGAATAGTTCATTTTACAAGAAAGGGACTGCAGTGCTTATAAAATGGATATTCATATGAAATTACATCTTGGAATATATTTTCATAACTGGAAAGAATGTGCTAGTAAATTTGTCACTACTCTTAATGATAATGTTTTTAAAAGGAAAAACAACAACAAGAAGAGGACCCCCATTTCAGCTGCTCAGAAGTAGCATTTATCATTTTAACAGAGGAAATAAATAATTGTTAGGTATAATTATCTTAAGCCAATACATGTAACAAAAGCACTAAGTATTGTATATTCAGATAGCTAGCTTTTATCAAGTCTTTAGAAGGGTTCAAACAATGCTCTGGTCTGGTAATTTTTAGTTTGGAACTACGTCTACCTTCATAGTTTTGAAATTGACTTTGAAATGTTAACAGCATGTTTCTTGAATAAAATTAGCAGGCACTGCTGAACTGAATTTATGTAAATATTGGTAAACAAAAATAAAAATAGAAGATATCTATTGAATCTGAAGTGAAATGCTCAGCTAAATTAATGGCTGTGTTTAAAACTTGTTAACTGGAGGTGATGTAAAGTATTTGTTTTTATATTTTTGTCCTCTATTCTTTAATGTAATCTTCCTTTTTCTCTCCTCTACTTCCTTGCTGCCTCTTTCCCTTTCTCTTTCCCTTTTCTTTCTGAAAGAAAAATAGGGTTGTTTACTTTATATGGAGAGTCACATTCTTGACCACTTACACCCAAGTTATCAAATTGGGATTGTTTTCAGGGAAAGGAAGGTCATAGGCAGGCAAATGTGGCAGGTTGTATGTTTTATAGTTCTGTACATTATAGATTTATCACAATATATGGATCAATGTTGTTGTTGAAAGTATCATAGTTGTTAATATGGAAATTAAATTCATCTTGAGCATATTTATTTATGAAAATGTAAATTTTTTATAATACCTGTACTAAGGAAGTCATTGATTAACCCCTGTAACAGCTTCACCCTGTAACAGGGTGAGGTAACAGTTGAAATTCTATGGTTCCTTAAATCTTGAAACATATGCTACAAATACAATAGCACCTGTTTTTTACTGTATTCTCTTGAGATCTGCAGGTATTTGGTCTCTCAGTAGTTTGGTGTCAAATGACTGTTTACTTTGGCAGGATAAATTAGATGGCGATATAATTACTGAGCAGCTGACATTGGAAAAGGGAGATAACTGCAAGAAAAATTGAAGGGATCTCTCTTACAGACTTCTGAGCATAGTAAAGACAAGTTTAGCTTGCCTCATAGTTGTTTGAAATAGAGACAATCTAAAGAAAACAGAAGGTGATATCATAGTACCCGGTAAGCATTTAGAAGTCAGGGAGTGATTTAGATTATTGGATAACTGTAGATGAAATGTTCATTATAAAAACATACATTTTTTTAGCTCAGAAAAATTATTATTCATTCCTTTCCTCTATTTATTCTTTCAAAGTGCTTTTACTAACTGTATACCCAATCTGTGCTTATACAGCCAAAGTGAGAAACATAATGAATCTATGATCAATCTGAAACTGTATTTTCTGTCTGTGAGTGTTTATCTACTGTAGCCTCATAAATAACATGGAATAATTAAACTTAGGAGTATACTGATTAATTTACTAATATTTTTGTTTGTTTTTAAGACATGGTTTCTTTGTATATCCTTGGCTGTCCTGGATCTCATTGTGTAAGAACAGGCTGTCCTCAAACTCAGAGATTTGCCCACCTCTGCCTCCCAAGTTTAGCATTAAAGGCATGCACCACTAGAAATTTTGAATATATATATATATATATATATATATATATATAGAGAGAGAGAGAGAGAGAGAGAGAGAGAGAGAGAGAGAAAGTATTTTGACTCTACATTGCCTAAAGCATACATGTACAGATTGCTATCAACCTAAATAACCTTCGGAGGAAAAGTCTCTTAACAGTTAAGTTTCTTTAGGTATAGAATATGCTATGGTAAGCACTGAACATATTCAAGGATGTTGAGACATATGAGTATGTTTAAGAGCAAAATGAAGAGGACTAAATAAGATACTTAAGAGACAATAGTCTTTGTCCCAAACAAGTAATGACAAAGTTATGTAGTCCACAGTTAAGCAGAACAGGCTGAAGAATATTTCCTGCAGAATTCTAACTTCAGAACCCCAGTGGCTTCATTCATTCTTTGTCAGGGTAGACAGACTCAACTCCATTTTGGTGTTAACTACTTTCACAGTGTGTTGGCATCTTGGTAAACTTCAGGTGTGAGCAGAGTGAGCATTGGTGGAGAAAGAATGGAGGAAGCATTCAAATTGGACGAGGGCTGCTAAATAAAAAGACAGTTGTATCTGCTATCTCCAAATGCTAATCAATATTGACTTGCATTCCATGTTGCCTTTGTTAATTTTTTGACATCACAAGTACTTTATGGATTTTCTAAGACCTTCTTGGCTACTATTTCAATATCATCCTAAGTCTTCTGTACCTACACCATCAGGTTCATTCTCAGGAGCCTGAGGTTTGCTATGCTGAAGCATGTTAATAATAGTTTCCTGTCTCAGCATCAACTTAAAGGCAACGATTTTCCCTTGTCACTGATATTGTAGACTCACAAAACCTCTGCTTCTGATGAAATGTAGAGCACCCAGTTTACAGTTATTGAGCCACAACATGTAATAAGAAATAGATGCTCTGTTAGAGAGATGATAGTAATCAGAATGTAAGCCAGATTTCACTTACACTAAGACTATTTTCCTAAGAAGTAAAGTTAATAATTGATATATGGTTTAGTGGGTTTATGTGATTATGGGCAGACTACAAAAGAGGTGTTTACTATAATGCTGTATATTACTGTAATTTTCAGGAGTGTTATTCTAGATAATGTATTAGGTGGGGAAATTATGATATATTTTTTACTGTTAAGAGCCACCCAGTGCCAATAGAGATCTCTCAAAAGTGGATAATGTTCCCGTCATGAGTCATAGATCTTGAGAAGTAACAGCTTTTAATGAGAAAGAAGGCAACCCTCTGCCTTCAGTGCTACTTCTAGGCATGACAGTAATAAGTGATTTTGGAATTCTGCATTGGTCTCACTCTAGTGTAGGTTTTCATTTTAAGGCGTAGTCAAGTGAATCTTATTTTCTTAGACAAGTTCCCTTCTGAGAGGGTTGCTATGGCAATGAGTT